GCATAGGGTAGTTGATGAGAGAGTAAAGGTCAAAGGTCATCTCTTGGTAACAGAGGAGGAGAAGAAGAAGAAGAAGCCGGCTGTCCTCGCGGCAGTGAACGCACCGTCGAACTGCTTCCTCATTTCATGTGGAAAAACCAACTAATTACGTGGAAATATGATAATGTATAACGCCGGGGGAGCTGCCTGCCCAGCGCCGCTTATTACCCAGACTCCCCTGTTCCTCCTCACTCCCCCCCACCCTCTCTCTTCTGGTATTTCTCCCAGGGAGTCTCGCCCTTTCACGACTGGAGAAACATTAGCAGCCAGTCCGGCTTGTTTTGCATCAAAACAACGCCTCATTTGCATAATCTGAGCTTGAGCTCCTCCCTCCTCATCACTGCCAGGGAAGGTCGATCCCTCCGCTCCCCATCTTCCTCAGGAGGCGATATCCCCCCACAGACCATCCCCACCACCTTCTCCCCTCTCCTCTTCATCATCTCATCTCATCCAGTTGTCTGATTCCTCCTTAAATATGCCTTCACCTGATACTGCAGGCCGACCTGCAGGCCTCTGTGTGTGTGTGTGTGTGTGTGTGAGATCACTCCTTTCTTCTCCTGAGGAGGAGGAGGGTGTCAGTCAGTCAGTGATTGTGATGTATGAGAGCTGACAGCTTCCCAGTGTGACTATCCACTGGTTACCAGTATAGCCCTTAATGGGTCTAATGGCCTGAGAGAAGAGACACACACACACACACACACACACACACACACACACACACACAGCAAGATGGGTCGGCCTGAACCAGAACTTTCAGGATGTGAAGCTGAGTGTTAAACTGGAGCTGAATGAGCCAAACAGCTGGAGACCATCCAGATGTCTCCCAGTAGTTTTTTCTTTCGGTTATTTGTAATTTTGTTTTGACCCCAAATGTCCTTTTTTTTCCTCAGGACAGGAAAGAATCTTTCCAAAAGCTCCTGGGTCCACATCAGAACATTTAAATATTTAAAGATAATATATTAGTAATGGCTTAAATTTGAATATGAAAATGTGATAAAATTGGTCAATTCTGGTTCCAGAGACTCTCCTCTGCTCTGTGCTCATATTTTAAGAGTAATTTTTTTTGCCAAAAAAAGCAAAATTTTCACACATGTTAAAATGATTCTTTAAATGGACGGGTCCTCCTTTCTCCTCAGCACTCACAGGGCTTTATATACAACACGCCTCATTCACACAAACACACTTTCTATCTAACATTCACACTCAGAGAGCAGCTTGCAGGCAGACTGGAGCAGCCAGGGATCGAACCTGCTCTTCCTGCAGATAAATTGTACAGATCCATGTTATCATGAATTCTTCGGCCATGAGAAGTGTGGCCTGGCCTGCAGCTGTGGACTCTGGCTGCAGGATCAGCTGTATTCACAGGTACGGGAGAAAGAGCTGAAAGGACTTAACTCTGTGCAGACAAACACAGGTTGTAAAGGTTCATCTCAGAACGTGCTTCTTTATGTCTGCTTGGGATTTCGGCTGCTTTAGACTGACAGGAAGTGGAAGAACAGGAAGTGGAGCCTTCTCTTTCTCTGCGTCCCGATGATGATGATGAGTGGAGTAGAGTTTCCTCTGACAGACAGAGCACGCTCAGTCACGATGGAACCTCTGAGTCTGCTATTACAGAGCCCCTCGTCTCTCCAGAGCGGCGGCTTTCTGTGGGTCGATGCCATCGAGCTGAACAGCAGCCATGACACTGGCAGCGGCCCGTCGCTCTCCTGCCAGCACGCTGCAGACCCGAGCGGCTTTCATCTCTCTCTTTGTAAGAGGCTCAGCAGGAACCACAGCTCTTACCTGATCTTCACTGAACTCAGAATCACTTTCTGGGCCACCGGAGCTGTAGGAGGAGCCAGCAGCTCAGCCCCGTTTGCACATCTGCAGCTTCAGACTTGGAGTGGCGCTTCTTCAGCGCCACAATGAAGCTGCAGCAGAAAAGTTAAAGGCCTGCAAAGTCAGAGAGAAAATTCTTCTTCTTTGCTGCTCGGCGACACGGCCTGTTTAATTATGGGTCAGCGAGGAAGGGAAATTAATCTCAGGCGGTGGAGGAGTCACGGCGTCAGGCTGACAGGGGCCCTGGGGCCAAGGGGGGGCGGGCACGGGGCCAAATGCCGTGGTAGCCTCTGAAGTCACCACGCAAAAGGGTAGCAGTCAAAAGTGATCAGAGAGCGCCGGACAGCGGACTGGAAGTCAGTGCGTTTCTGGCAGCGAAGCCTCTGAATGAACATAAACCCATGTGACAGACACGCTTCAACTTCACCGCCACTTTCTGAGGCCACGGCAAGGACGTGTGCATGGCCTGGGGGACGGGGGTGCGGACGGTTTCAGAGAGATCGCTCTTAAGGTTTAAACTCTACACAAAGCATGAAAAAGAAATGCATTAAGAAATCACATTTCTATTCTGAACTCTGGAAAAATGCACAACAGCGCCTCACTCAGGTACGGGGGTCCAAACATGTTGGCCATAATAATCTGAACCTTTCCACAGTTTTTATACATTTTTGCAGTTTTATTGGATGGTTGGTTTTTATTAAGTTCTGCATTTACATGTA